TGGTTTTTGTATTAGACCCGTCGTCCATTTATTTGTAAGTCAATGGTGGAGGGCATTAAATTTTTTTTATCTTGCCACTTAGGCAAGTTTTGGCGGTAAGCCAGAAAGTTTGGGAACCTTGTTTTAGATCTTTTTGATTCGCTGGAAGTACACATCGAAATACAAAACTTGTACTATCGACACCAAGATTAGAAATTTATAGGGAAAGCCTGCTTTATAGATATATATTAATTTATAATAAAATACCAGACTCGCTTAGACAGAGGAAAATAAGAACACATTCAAAACTAAATTAAAGTCTCTCTTGATATAGGAGTTCTACTACAATGTAAGAGTCTTTATGGACTAAGAACTGATGACGTCTCCAATACGTAACAATACACTTTTCGTCCTTCAAACTTTAGTAGCAGTAGAGCTTCTTGTGAAAGAGTTCGTCCAGGGTAGTACTGCCACCTTACCTATTTCTGCCGCCAAGCAGTAATGTCAGCATTACTGTGTTCCGGTTTTGTAAGGGTGTTGACAGTGGCTGATTTGCCCTAAGACCACCCTAGACAATCGTGACAAAAAATTCACTGATGATAACAAAAAATAATTCAAAGTGCCTAAATATTGTAAATGCTCACGCGCATCGTATAACAATAATCTTCCTAAATCACTGTCGTACTTTTTATTTATAAAATATAGATATGTCTACCAGTAGGCACATGAGTGCTGCTGGTAATGACTACATGGCCTAGGCCTAGGGCGGCAAGAACTGCAAATCCGCCACTGGGTGCTTGTGAAATTACAGGTACATGGGACTTGTCAACTTATGTCTCAGGGTGACGGGTGCAGTGGTAGTGCCCCACAGATCTTTGCAATTTAAAGCTCTGAGTGGCACTGTAACTGTTATGGACAGGCGTGTAGCTTACCATCAGGCGCACGACTTGTTCATCCAATCACCTGGTGTCATAATAAAAAAAGAACAATTGCAGGACGATGACAACATTTTCTCGACGAAGTGGAGTCATTGACGCGGTCATAAATATTGTTCACTGTCTGTTATTATGTGCAATTATTTGTAATTATCGTTACGAACAAAGGTGTCTTTGAATGGTGCCCTTTAAATGTAGATGTTTCTTAAAGACACAGTGGAAATAAATTTAAATTTTACACACTGCCCAAAATATTAGTAACTTTCCCTCCAGCCACTGGGGTTCTGGTCTGTGCCCCCAGCAAACTAAAACTCAAATAATCTTCATTCCAAAGCTAAGTAAATTACACTTCAAATCGTCATCTTGATTAAACTCTTCCACTCATACATTTATTTAAGCAGCAGTAGAACTCGGGAAAGTACTGCCAGTAATGTCAGCATTACAGTGTTCCGGTTTTGAAGGGTAAGGGTGCTGATGAAATTACAGGCACATGGAACTTATCAACTTATGTCTCAGGGTGACGGGCGCAGGGGCAGTGCCCCTCAGATCTTTACGATATAAAGCTCTGAGTGGCACTGCAATTGTTATGGATAGGCGTGTAGCTTACACATCAGGCGCATAATTTGTTCCCCTGAGTGGAATGAGCAAGAAACTCTTTTAAATAAACATTTGTATTAATACAAAGATCACATACAAAAATTTCTTCGACCCGGTGGGACTTGAACCCGCGACCATGCTGCACCGCCGCATTGCTCTTACCAACTGAGCCACAGGTCAAGTTACTGAGCTGTTGAAATTATCCTACGTGTTTTTGTTATAGATCTTTGTACTGGCTTTCGGCATTCGTCGCCGCTAGTGACGTCTGGTAAAGATTTTTGAAAAACCTCACATTTTTCTGTGTTCGATCTTTGTATTAATAATGATAACAAAACTAGGGCAGTTATTTCACAAAAAGTGTCAATAATAAACAGTTTTATATATATTTCAATTTTTATTGAATTGATATTCAATTATTTTTATGTGAAATCACTCCACTAGTCTGTTATAATTACCAAAAGACGGAACAAACAAGTTGCTCGCCTGGTGCCAAGCCACACGTCTGTCGTCGTGAGCGCGACCATGAAACGAATTTGTATAACGATATTTGTTTTTTAAAAACCATTATATAAATACTTTTTCAAAGGAATAAATGAAATAACGTATTTTCTATACTAATTAAATTTTTATCAGTTCGACCAGGCGCACCGATCGTACGCATTTGCAATGCCGCCCTGAGGTTAAAATTGCATAGATCTGAGGAACACTGTCACCCTGAAATAGAATAGAATAGAATAGAATAGAATAGAATAGAATAGAATATACATTTATTGCAACGCCACAACACATAGATACAAAAAAAATATTGATACTACTTAGACAAGCAAAACAAAACAAAAAGACGTAATTAACAAAATTAAAATAAAATGAAATAAGACAATAACAAACAAAGAGCAAAACAGAAAAATACTAAATATAACAACTGCAAATGTTGTACTGTCATGTGTGCGGTTTTGGCGTACGCAAAAGGACTTCATTTAGCTTATGCCACAGCCGCAATTGACTGTGGCGCTGGTTTTCAATGAGCCCTGAGAAATATTAGTGGAAAAGTAAAGAAAAAAACCATTGTTAACTCGCAATTACAGATAATTATTATATGCAATAAAATACTTGTACATATACCTAATCGTTTATTCTTGGGAAATCCACAAGAATGTTTGTTTATTTTAATGCATAATTAAGTGCTTAACACACGTGGAATTCATTTTAACAAGCATTCCTTTATACAGCTTAGGTCACATAGGTCTAGGTCACATAAAGGCACTTGAATTACCTTTGGACTCTGAAATTTTCATTAACGTTTGACATTGATGTTTGTGTCGTTATTGGAAGAAATTAGTTTTTTATAATCAAATGATGAGACGAACAAATCATGCACTACCCGTCGCCCTCAGATTATATTGTAATAATAATAATAACGCAAACGTTAACAGCCCCGCACTATAGAAACCCTGTATTGATGCCATGGGCACACACATAGACAACAACAAATCACACCCAAACTCACGAGAGAAATAAATGTAGGCCAAATAATTCTCCCGGCATGGGGATCATACCTGGGACCTCCGCGTGGCAGACCAGCATGGTAACGGTTCGGCCACGGAGGCAGTTAATGATATAAGTTGTCAAGCCCCTTAATGCCTGTAGTTTCATTCCTTTATACAGCTTCTAGGTCACATAAAGGTTCTTTGGTCACTAAAATTTGCATTAACTTTTAACATTGATGTTTGTGTCATCATTGGAATTAATTCGTTTTTACAAACTTGAATGAATGAATTAAATGAATGAAGTATATAGAGCACTTAACTACGCATAAAAACAAATAAACGTTATCTGGTTAGATACGAGGCAAGAAACGAGTCGAGCGGCTTCCGGAGATTTCTTGAATATTCTAGGGAAATCTATCGAAATAGTTTGTACGGTACATACTTAGTTGACATAATTATGCTATGTAGAATTCCGTTACAAAAATGCCATTCCATTCCGTTCCGCGGCGCTGTAAATTGATCCTGAGTAAGGGAAGGGACAATGTGTATACGTATTTCAAGTACGTAGGTCAAGGACCTAAGTTCATATATTGCCTTAGAATGCTAAAAACGCCCTGTCGTCGTTTGTTTTTTATTTAACATGTAAGTTATTTAACCTTAAAATAGATTTTAAATACCGAATTAAGAGCCGCATTCTTTTCAAAACGCTCTGTTGCAAAAATTGCTAATAAGAAATATTAGAACAACAGCACGTTTCTCTGATTCTAAAGGAAGTTGCTAAAGCACTTGTGTTATGGAAACCGGAAACAACGATGGTACCACAAACACCCAGACCCGAGACAATATAGAAAAGTTAGTTTTCTACATTGACCCGGCCGGGGATCGAACCCGGGACCTCGGAGATGGCGACACCATGAAAACCGATGTGCAAGCTCTTGACCACGGAGGTCGTCAATTACTTAGCACTTAAGGTTCTTTACTTCTCACCTACAGATGTATATTTGTTACAACTTTAGATATGTTTTAATAATTGGTTTTTAACAGCCTTGTCTCTTCGTTGCAGAATGTCGACCCTGCTGTTTTGGCAGGGGCGTGGTAAGGCGACGGGGGCGCCGAACGGCCGGAACTGGTTACACGCGCCTGACGTTCTCGTTAAAGGACACGTCGCTTATCTAGTAAAGGTAAGTAATATACAAAGCCGTATTTAGATATCACCTGCCTGCAGCGACACTGCACTGACCCTTTTATGCAATGTACCTGCGTTCGCCCTTATCCCTCCCTCCCCTGTCCTGCTCCGAAACACGCGCGCTGGCTCCGTAGTCACCGTTTTAGAACTTGTCGTATTCCATCGCGAATTAAAAGGTTTGGTGGCACCTTTCTCTGTCGCACAGTCGACAAATGCATGCGATGCAACTCCCTTCCAGCGCACGTATTCCTTCCTTCTTACGATATGGGGTCCTTCAAACGAGATGTGAGGTCTTGTTGCTTGATGTGGGGTGGAGGCCGGCTGTGATTGTATCAACACTGCACTAGATACCTTCACGTTTGGATTCCACTTTCCATTTAACATCAGGTGGAGTGGAGTCATGTTCCTGTCATGTATATGACGCTTACACTAACTTACTGTAACAGTTGTTGTATTTGAGAATTTTATTTGGCAAATTGTACAACGCTCTCTAGAGGTCCCAAGAAGAAGTAACATTTTACATACAAATCTTTTACGCGGTCGCTAGCGATGAATACATCATGGTAAAGGTACAGGCTTAGTCAAAACAACGTCATGGGCATTATTGCAATTGCGGTCGGGTCAAAGACCTAAACCACGTCACGTTTAACTAACTGTCCTTTATTGGATAATTCTTGTATTTGCCACTGCCTCATTTCCATAGACTTCTATTTTTAAATAAGGAACCAGCTATATATGCTGTATGTGTGTTGTATTTGTACAACATTAATGTACTCCCGGACACATCATTCGCGCCACCTCGCATTTTTGTCTTCAGGGTCTAGAATACAAAATTAGTCTTATCGTCAAAGAAAATGTTTTCCTCCGGTTTTGCAAATTCAAATTTCCGACAAGGATTTATAGAAAAGACGTTTAATATAGTAGTTTCAAAATAATTTAATAGTTTTTGATCAATCAAACATTGTTTCAGTTTAGGGCATTTAATACTGAAAATGAGAGGTGGCCCGAATTATGTGTCCGGGAGTGTATTAGCGTTGCGCGACTTTGAATGTTGATACTAATCATTCATATGAGCAAATCATTCGCCTAAGTCAAATCATTCGACACGGGTCGGGTGCACGATTTGAATGATTATTATGTCGGAACTGCTTGGAACTCCACTAGATCATTCACCATGTCCATATCAGAATATCCCTGTCCCCGTCACATTTACCTACGATATTTACTAAAAAGTTTATCTGTATGTTCGATCTTTGTATTCTTAACCACAGCAAACCTCGAGGAGTTATTTTACAAAAAATCTCAATAAATACATTTGATCGAAAAGCGACATCTGCGTTAGTTGTGATACCTGGCCTGCGTGAGAAATTTATTCAAAAATCTCTTACTAGATGGCACTAGCGGTGACGAATGCCGAAAAGTCAGTACAAAGATCTATAACAAAAACACAGGAGAATTTCGAAGTCTCGGTAACTGGACCCATGGCTCAGGTGGTTAGAGCAATGCTACGGTGCAGCATAGGCATGAGTTCAAGTCCCATCGGGTCGGCGAAAAATTTTTCTGTGTGTTCGATCTTTGTATAGATAATCATAGCAAAACTAGTAGTTATTTCACAAAAAAAATCTCAATATTACTACATATCGGAGAGGGTTGGGCAGAAATACTCTATGGAATCTATAGATTAGTGATACTAATTAGTAATGAATGATCATTTAGATCATTGCACGTGTGGCGATGCTGTTGACGAGTTTGGTCACCATGGCCTCTCGTCTACTCGAAGCGCTGGCCGCATATGGCCCGACACGCAGCACTCAATGGCATCATCGTACGGGCCTTCACCAGCGCTAAGATAACGGCAGTTCTCGAGCCCACTGTTATATGTCCCTATCTATCGAGAGATAGGGTTTTCCGGAGAGACTACGGGCTCGACGGCAAGACCAGGGTACAGCGGGCGTCCGGACCAAGCCCTCCGTCAGTGATACACCTTTGCCCGGACTTGGGTATGGACTCGCTGGGGTTTGTGGTTAGCTGCTGAGAAGGACATGTTTGTCTGCCCCGGTTGCGGATACATGCAACCGGGGCGTCTGTCTCATGAGCAGCTAGCGCGTCTTAGTAGCGGTCTAGTTGAGGGTCTGAAGCGAGGAGACGCGCGGGGCACGGGGGAAGCTATGTCCGGACATTATCGCAGGACATTGCATCTCCGGCACTAGCCCGGAGAGCTAGTAGAGGATAAGCTAGATATCCTCCGGTCCCTCCAGCCGCTCAGGTTATTGGGAACTGGAGAGACGTTGTTTTTCGGCGTCGGGAAGTGAGCGTGCCTTACAGCTCCGCCACCAATGAGGAGATTTGGTAGTGGACTCAGAGTCAACGGCTTAGCGGGTGCAACCGCTAGTTGTGCAATGCGCAACGGGAAATGAGCGTGCCTATAGCTCCTAATTCATAAATCATAATCATCATAAATCAATTAAAAGGCTTATTTCATTATTTATGTTCATGTTATATTGTCTTTAAGCAGGGAAAATTTGTAGGACAAAAGTATCGATACCTCAAGGTGTCGATACTTTTGATTCGATACTGTGTTCCTAGGCACAAAAACTAACTGTAGCTACAAATAAAGTATTTGTGTTAGAACGCATTATTTGTGACATATAACACATGTTATTGAAAATCGATACGCTGAAATACGAGTTCTACGTCTGTTTGTTTACAAACGTATCATATAACGGGGGCGTCGCACTATTTATATGTTTTTAAAACATACATTATTTATATTGTGTATTGCTATTCTTAGAAAAGATTGTGCTGGTCTTCTTATGGTGGTACAAGCGAGCCATATTCAGCTGGTGTACGTACAATAATAGTTATTTGTTATGGAAGGCTGCAAAGGTGTTGTAAAATTAGAATCCTGAGCGTGGCGAGCGAAACACACAACTGCCGAACGAAACACACAACTTTTCACCTCACTATAGCGAGGCAAATGGTAGATGTAAGATAAACACATGAACTATAACAAACAAAATTAGTTATCGTTGACAATTTAATAAAGAATAAAATATACCAACGGATTTATATTACATAAATTAAGTTGCCGCTGCCCGACCCAGTACTCCACAACCACAACCCAGGCAACCAATGAAGGGAAAACTGAAAAAGAAACTCGTATCTGGAGCTGCGTCGTCAGTACCACCGAGACGAGTTGATCAGTGCGACGAGGACGGCTTTCGGAAGGTGGAAAAGAAAAAGAAGAACATCAGCCGAAACCTTAGTGGCACCGCCCTGACTGGCCCGAATCATTTATTGCGTCCAGCGGTACCGACGACGTTGTTATACGTGTCGCGTCTTCATTACTCCACCAAGTCTGCGGATATTGTGGAGTACATGCGAGTGAAGGCCAATGCAAACCTGAGGGTCGAGCGGTTGGAGTCGCGCCACAACGTGAATTTTAATTCATTTGTGGTGCGAGTACCAACTCAACACCTGTCGACCTTCATGAGAGAAGACTTTTGGCCGAAGGGTGTCATATACCGGCGTTTCCGAGGACGGCTACCGGACACTCACGTTGCGTCACACGTCGAAGTACATACGTGTAAATAAATAGTGTTATATGTATATTATCATGTTATATTGTATTTATGATTAGTCCGTAAGGTATTTATTTAATATTTCTGTTATTGTTTTATTATATTATTGTTATATTATATGTATGTTAGTCTGTAAGGTATGTATCTATGGGTCCTAGTTGCCTGAAATAAATAAATAAATAAATAAAAAAAAAAAAAATAAATAAATACTGTACGACAAATTACGTGCACCACAGTCCTTTGTAAAATTCAAATTTGAAAAACCTTTTCCACTAGCTAGAAAAAACGCTTTTGCGCGCATATTTCTGATAAGAATGAAAGCCTTTCCGAGCTAGTGAGGTGAAAAATATTCGTTGTTTCCATATTGAGTTTTTTGATATTCTATCATTTGTTGGTAAAATTACTCGATTAGTTTGTTATAATTATTTGTAAGATCGAAATCTAACAAAATTTCTATACCATGTCTAACTATAACTAGAAATCTATGAAATCGTCTGCATAGAATAAGTATACCTACGTAGAGTAGGTATACTTAATTGGTAAACGTAATTGGTTGCTATAATATAAGTATACAATGAAATGACAAGTTTTTTTAGCAGGTTTATCAATTAATTATATAATGTTAACTATTATATTAAACACCAAATCTCCATTATTTCTGGTCAATCTTTAATTTTATTCAAATATAACCTAAAAATTAACGTTTAAAGACAAAAATTCTCATCAAACAATAGCGTAATTATGACTACATTGTGATTGTTGTAATTATAAACTCAAAATAGCCGGAATTTAGGTAATAATACATCTAGGTAACGTACATTTATTGCGACCTCGGTGACACAATTACTTGCACTGTGGGCGCTGCACGACAAGGTCCGGAGACTGTTTCTCAGTATAACCAATTTGGGAAACAACGATACTTATGTGGGAGATAAGTTTTCCTATATTAGTTCTTTCTGGTCTTGGAGTCCTGGGTTTTCTTTTTAGAAGAAAGAAAGAAAATAATATGTATTTGGTCTCTACTAGTAATACAAAGTAAATCTTAATATTAAACATTGAGATCCAAAATGGTCACCACTCAGCATTAGTCGGGTTGTGCAAGCAAAACAACCCAACGCTGGTATTCTGTGGTGGCCGAGGAACGAAGTGGACGCCACCGACAACGAATCAACAAAACTTATCTTATATGTCTTAAATTTAAAATAGCAAAATAAAATATATGTACATATATATAACAATATTATAGTAAATATTAAAATTTATAATTAAAATCTATGATGTGAAATAATTAAAATGTATATCTAATTCTTCTGTTAAAAGGATTATGAATCTTTAAATTAACTTGTATAAATTAAATTGAATATAATGAATTAAATTTTTATTGAATTGATATTCAATTATTTTTTGTGAAATTACTCCACTAGTTTGTTATAATTTTATTAATGCAAAGATCGAACACTCAGAAAAAACACTCAGAAAAATATCCTTCGATCCGGTCGGATTCGAACCGACGTCTTCTTGCATACCGTGCCAGACGCTATACCAACTAAGCCACGGAACGAACCAACGGACCTCACGAATTTTTCTATGTGCTTGCGTCGTGTCTTTGTACTTGGTCTTTCAACGACTTTTTAGTCGTAGCGCCATCTATGAGAAATCTATTACAGATTTATCACCCAGTTAGTACCTTTACAGCTACCAGTCCTGGCGAGAGATGTCGCTATTCACTGTATTAATTAAATTTTTATTGAATTGAATATAATGATTTATAAATCGTGAATTCCCAAACTTTTGCCTATCTAATAAATACAGTTTAAATTTACGTTTAAACGTGCTAGTATATATGTAGTTTAAATACCAAGTGACAGCCTGGTGGTAGGCGACACGCCTACCCATAACAGTTGCATTGCCACTTAGAGCTTTAAATGGCAAAGATCATAGGGGCACTGCCGCTGCACCCGTCACCCTGAAACATAAGTTGACATTACCCGTCCAAACGGGAATGCAGTAATGCTCAAATTACTACTTGGCAGCAGAAATAGCTAAGGTGGCAGTACTGCCCTGGATCTCTTTCACAAGAAGTTCTACTGCTACTAAACAGCCATTGCTTGATACAACAGTCCCAAGCCCAATTAAAATCAAAGTAACATTTATTCCATAGGTAAAATAAATTTACACTTGAAAACGTCACATTTAAGCTACTGCTCGTTCACTACGCTGACTTCCCTGAGAAGAACGAGCAAGAAACTCTAGGGATTGCTCTTTTCAAATAATTTTAAATGCTGTGGAATACACATTCAATCAAATTTTGTGTTGAATCTGGAGCCATGTCGTCTTTCCATACATATTTATCTAACACATAGCCTTCAATTTTGTAATACGACTTTTCAATCAAAATATTTTTAATGTAGTCTTTAAAGTTAGGAAATTATTAATAATCTTAATATATACCCCATAAAAGAGTCGTTTGCCTTGATTAAACGAAATCGTGGTACCATGAGTTTGGACTTCTTTCTTATTGAAATTATGTATATTTTACGGGCATATAAAATATTTGAGTAAATGTACTGTGATGCCACAGTCATGATACCAGTCTCCTTAAACTTTTCTCTGAGAGAAACCCGAGATACGGTACACAGAACGAATCGCTGGTTTTTATAATACACATCCATATGTGTATTATAAAAACCAGGCACAACCATTTGTGCGCGTGTGCAGATAGCGCCTTGCTGTATGTAGCAATAGTAGGTAAATAACTTTCGACCGTTGTATGGAGTGTCCGGGGTGTGTGATAAGGCTTCAGGTCGTTCTTGCCCCATTTGTCCCTTCATGAGTTGTTTCGTGTTATTCTTGTAACGTTTTAACTCCATTTCTTTTGTTTTCAGTTCCTAGGCTGTACGCAAGTTGATCAGCCGAAAGGTATCGAGGTAGTCAAAGATGCCATTAAGAAACTGCAGTTCACCCAACAGCTGAAGAAGTCGGAAGCAAAAGAAAATGCCAAGTGCAAGAAAGTCGAAATTACTATATCTGTTGATGGCGTGGCTATACAGGTAAGTTCGTTTTATCATCATCAACCAATTTATACGTCGCACTGCTGGGCATAGGTCTCCTTTCTGGAGTGGGTTTTAGGCAATAGTCCGCCACACTGGCCTAATGCGGGTTGGGGACTTCCCACGTTTTCCGAAGGCTGTGAACCTTCTTCGACGCGCAGGTTTCATCAGAAAGAAAGAAACATTTATTCTATTACAAATAAATAAACAAAAAATAATAATAATATTAATTTAAATTTAAATTAAATAATAAACAATTTAAAAAAAATATTATTAACACATAATAATAGCCGGAAAGGCTATAGCCAGTTCAGCTTCATGCTGGGCAGAGCCACAGCCCTGATTTTCAGCTGGAGCCTAAGAAGAGGTAGATGACTATGGCTATTTGACAAAAAACTGAAAAGAATAACAAGTATTTGATCTGTAACCTAAACACCCACCTCAATTTATATACCCAATTTATAATAAAATTATTACAGTGTGCAGTGTGCTATTAAACAATATAAAATAACTAAATTAATAATAATAAGACTGATGTCTGAGTCATGATAATACCAAAATAAATTAACAACTAGCTTTAGTAACTGATGCCGTTTGTTAATCATATTAGCGTAAACTCTTTAATTCTTTTACGAAAGCCCGATAAAGAAGTTTTGAAGAAGAAAACAAAGTTTTCCTTCACCGAATTCCAAATTAAATTTCGCACATAAATCCCGAAAAACTCAGGGGTGCGATCCCAGATTCAAACCCAAAGACTTTGCTTGAGATGCGGTTAGTCAAACCTACCACGCCCGGTATTATTATACGCACCACGGTATTTAAGATCGGTAACCCTTACATAATTACTAGTCCATAAGTACTTGAAAGTGAATTATTGTAAGTAAATTTATATTTCTTGCAACCTTCATACTGACTTACTTTTTAGTAAGTGACATTAAGTACTTCTGCAAATTTAGTCACATACTTTATTAAGTTGTAGAATTATTAAATTTTTTTAATGACGACTTACTTACTACTTACATACTTACTAGAAAATTGGTAAATACAATTGTTTTAATAAGATGTTGGTATAGTCCCACAATGTTGTTAGTATTTTAAAAATAACCCCGTATAAGTTTTACATACGTACTAATGTTGTGACTCGAATTGACTAAATACAATTGTTTTTAATAAGATGTTAGTATAGTCCTACAATGTTGTTAGTATTTTAAAAATAAACCCGTATAAGTTTTACATACGTACTAGTGTTGTGACTCGAATTGACTAAAATTATAGATAATTAGTTGGCACCTAATTTATATCTAATAGGCGGTGACGAAGAGATTAATGGCCAATAAAAAAAATACTTTTAACCCCGATTTCACAATAGATCTTTTTATGTAACCATAAAACATTAGAAATTCTGCCAATTCCCACCTCCAAACTATTATCAAACCGATATAACTTGTTTAGTTACGTTCAAAGCAATTGCAGGAAATGCTTACACGCTGTGTGATGACATGATAGCGGATATAATAGCCAGTTGTTGCGATTTTTTGCGTCTATGTACCTATCAGGTGTTTATAGGGTTTAGAAATTAAAATATTGAGTTTTTTCTGTAATATCAAGTGACGGGGCTAATAAGTCACTCCTAATGGTAACAGTTGCAGTGCAACTCAGAGCTGTAAATCGCAAAATTTGAGGTTCACTGCGCCGTCGTCCTGAGACGTAAGTTGACAAATCGTCGGGGACAGTGCAATACCAAATTTCACTGGAGAAGGATTTAACTTTTATCTTTCTTATGTCGATGGCTACGACTTTCACTTTTGCACAGTGAGCATTAATTTATATTGCCTACGGACTGATAACAATAGATTCCCGTAAATCACGCTAATTTGGTTGCCACGACAGTTACGCGGATTTCATTTGGCCACTAAATTATCGAAATGGAGACTCATAATCAAATGCTAGTTACGCGTAATTGCACATTTCCGCTTGGCGGCAAAAATAGGTAAGTTGGCAGTACTTCCCTGGACGAATTCTTTCACAAGTAGCTCTACTGCTAATAATTAGACATTGTATTTCCATTAAGACTACACAAAGACAATTTTATTATATATACTTATACAATATATTCTGCTAAAATCTAGTCTCAATGGCAGTTGAGTCTCAACAGAGTGCCATTGATGGCATTACTTCATTCTATCACTAACGATCGATGTTGTCGTTGTAGATTTGTAGATTCTCCTTTCAGTGAATTCTCAAAAGTGTGAAGTGAAGTCAATTTTTTATTAAAAACGCGTGTGTTCCTCAATTTGACTTTGGCGAAATCCTCGATTACTTCGATGGGGCCATAACATTTAAACGAAGAAGAGAAGATGTTGTCTTACTGAAACATATCTTAATTTATATCACGTTTAATCAGCAATTTAGTCTTCGAATTGTAATGTATTTTTGCGTCAAATATAATTAACAGACTACGCCAACCATGTACCATCGAGTCGCCATTGAAGAGCAGAATATCAAAAAATCGCAATGTCAGTTACGTCGTTGTCTAGACACTGACATCTCACCACTCTTACTTTCAACAGAATACCAAACGTGCAAAATCCTGCCATTGACATTAAATTAAATAGGACTTTGTTCATCAAACACATACACACACATATACATATAAAATCACACGATATTATGTACTAATAAATTATGAGCTATGAGTGATGAAACGGACGAAGCTGTTTGCATAGCCCTGTTTTTCAGTCTCCGCATGTGTTCTCTGTCGGAAATTGTCGGGACATAATTTTGAACAAAAGGACTATAATGAAAACAAACATTATTAATCTAACTGAAATCTATTTATTTACTGTTTACGAGTGATAATAATACACACATCAAGCAAAAAGAAACAAATCTAATCAGGACGGCAATGGGTACAAATGACTGTTACCAGACAACTATGCGGATTACTGTTCCACAATCGACCAGCAGCTTGATTCTGATTGCCTCTCCCGATCGGAAACTGCGTCTTTTCCGAGTCGAGGCGCACAATTGCGATTCACAACTGGCCGATTGGAAACTTTTGACGTTTCAAATCGGAACAATAGTTGATTTAACTCACAAATTAGAAAGATGAATGATGATGATGAAGAATGTTCATACGTGATCAGCCAGCCACCCTTAGAGGTGGATGATTTTCTTCAAAATGAAATGGGACCACTATGGAGGTACCCTCTTTCCAACAAAAAGAGAATCATGAAAATCGGTTCACAAATACCGAAGTTATCGCGTAACATACATACAAAAAAATAAAACATACAGTCGAGTAATCTTTTCATAATCTCAGTACAGAGTACTAAAAAAACCGATCTCGAAAGTACGTGGAATTACGTCTATTTGCTAAGTTTCATTGAAACATCCCTTAGTTCGCCACTATACAGGACTTGACACCGGAGATAATAAAAATCGGTTCTCACTACTCAAAGTATATTGAGAGAAAAACCATCCAACCATTAAAATAATTGCTCCTAAATTAAAGTTTAGGCGCTATTTATAAAAATGAATCTTCATGCGTTCACGCAGCCCTTAGAGGTGGATGATTTTCTTCAAAATGAAATGTGACCACTATTTTTTTTTTTTTTTTTTTTTTATTTATTTCAGGCAACTAGGACCCATAGATACATACCTTACAGACTAATATACATATAATATAACAATAATATAACAGAAATATTAAATAAATACCTTACGGACTAATCATAAATACAATATAACATGATAATATACATATAACACTATTTATTTACACGTATGTACTTCGGACGTGTGACGCAACGTGGGTGTCCGGTAGCCGTCCTGAGTCGATGATTCTTTTTTTGTTGGAAAGAGGGTACCTCGGAAGTGGTCCCATTTAAATTTGAAGAAAATATTCCACCTCTAAGGGTGGCAAACTGGGGGATAAATGACATTTGAGGTTGGTTTTTAGTACTCTGTACTGTTTTATTATTTCCAAATGATTGATTCAATACTTTCCCTGTTATGCGAAATCAACCAAAGTTATTTAAGGCAGTATAGACTCTTAAGTTAATATACTAAATTCGTAAACTTGTACAATCGCCCATTCAAAAGGCGTTAGCTCTATTAGCAGTAAAATCGTAGTTTCCATATTTCGCAACCAAATAACACAAGTTTGTTGTCTCGTTTGTACTTCTAAGATGTCGCCGAGTTAATAATACTTATCTAGGTTACGGTTTTACGTATTTATTATGTAAATATTAACTTAGTTATGTGAACGTTTGTGACCTGCATAGAAGGTTCACATAACCGAACACGTGTGATGTACCTGTACCGCCAGCGTGTTGGATCATCGAGTATATAACTAGAAATAGAGACGACATGTCATTTAAATTCTTTGAAAACTATTCTGCCAAATCATTACTGTGACAACTGCGCTCCGATTGGCTAGCCCGAGTTCGAAACAATTGACGGGTGTCGTCATTCGCCTCAAATCGACCTCTTCAGCTTTGCTATAATGAACGAAAATTGCAAAGTTACATACTTAATATATAATTACCGATGAAATGTGATTCCATTTGTTTTGTGATTAGATTTTTTGCTGTTTATCTACACCACCGAATGGAACAGCCCTCATTGTTAGAGATATTGTCTTATTACAATAAATACAGAATATTTTTGGAATATACGGAGATTATATTTCAGTTTTCTAATTTGTGATTTCAGCGTTAACGAGAGTTGGTATTCAAAAGTGATGTAAGGCCCATTTGCCTGATGAGTTGCCAAGGATGGATGGCCCTTATTTCGTCTTTATTTCTGGTTATATACTCGACGTGTTGGATAAAAGCGTTGCATTTCTATCACCGTGACGACCAGTCGACGTACCAGTCGCAAAAAAATCACAGTAACAAATGACTGTGATTTTGTCATGCCTGTCACTTACTTCACAATATACGGTTTTAGCAAGCGACTACTCCGTTATTTGTTACAATACAATACAATACAAAAATTCTTTATTGTACACCAAAAAAGGAAACAAATACAATACAATTAAATTAAAAATAAGCGGTGGTACAATGGGCGGTCTTATCGCTTTAAGCGATTTCTGCCAGACAACCTTTGGATGGAAGTAATGATATAATTCACAGGAAAAAGACGGTGGTGTATGAAGAATTACTAATCAACAGATAAAAATTGATAAATAAATGCAAATATACATATATTTATAAATAAATAATAAAACCAATACATATATATGAATATCGTAAACTACTATATATTCTTATACTTATAAATATAAAAATTTCTAAAACGTAATTTCAAAACATAAAAATACCTAAGCAGTCCAGGTCACACTAAATTAAGGTAGTGTACTTTTACCATATTTTTGAATATATTCAATGATTTCGCTTGTTGAATAGACAAAGGTAAAGCGTTCCACAAACGAATAGCCTGAACTAAAGGACTTGTCGTAATACTGGGAGGTATGCAATGGCATCTTAAGTTGGAGAGTTGAAGAAGAGCGCAGAAGTCGGGGGTTGTATTGATGGGCGAATTCAAATCGCTCCTTAAGATAAGGTGGTGTGTGAGGAATGAATAAGATGCCATAGAGAAGATTAAGAATATGAGCATTCCGGCGAAGTCTAATGGGTAACCACTTCAGCTCATTGCGATAGATGGAAACATGATCAAATTTCCTCAGACCATAAATGAAACGGATGCAAAAGTTTTGTAGACGTTCGAGTTTGTTGAGCTGTTCTTCGGTTAAATCCAGATAGCAGGCATCAGCATAATCAAGAATTGGAAGAAGAAGAGTTTGGGCAAGCGCAGTTTTCGTGGCAATAGGTAAAAAATTACGTAACCGTCTGAGAGATGCGGCAGACGCAAACAATTTGCGGCTGGTCTCAACTAATTGAGGTGCCCAAGATAGCTGCCTATCAATAAGTATACCTAGATTTTTTACGTTGTCACTAATTTTAATGTAGGTGTCGTCTATAATAACCTGCGGCAAGCGAAACCAATCTATCTTGGATACCATTCTAGAGCTGCCAATAACAATCATTTGCGTTTTCGTTGCGTTCAGCTTAAGACCAAATTGTTTACTCCACGTCGAAATATGACGGAGATCATTATTGATTACCTCAATGGCTTCGTGCAGGTTTTCAAGTTGCCGGTGAGTGTAAATTTGTAAATCATCTGCATACAGGTGGTAGGATGAGGTAAGACTGCGGGAAATTGAATTAATAAAGATCGAGAAGAGAAGAGGAGATAAAACGCCGTGTTACTTACTCACTTTGACGAACGTTAATTTTATTTGAAAAATAGATCCACAATAACCTTCACAGTTTTACTGGTTTATCGCATTATTCGTTAAAAGACCACGCGGCGTGTTTATTATTTTGGATCAATTTCGTAGTTATTATCTTATTTGTAGTTTTATAATACAATATATTTATACGGTATTTACACTGATGTAATTAGAATTTAAAAGGCGAACTGCTATGAGTAGCGGTTCACGCATGATGTTTAACCGACTTCGAAAAAAGGAAGAGGAGGAGGTTCTCAATTCATTTTTTTCTTCACGAACCAATTTTGGTGATTCTCGTTTTGTTGGAAAGCATATATTTTTACATATATATTGTATCACTATGCGGTAGCACCCCCTGGACAGCATCAACGCCCCCCAATTGCTTCCGAGACCCCTAACGCTCTCCTAGAGGTGGGTGATAAATAACGTCACGATCACGAAAAAATCACAGTGTAAAAAATAATAAGCCCGTGTGCGCAGGCTGTAATCGGAATAGCAATCGGCAATATTTAATGAACATCTGCTCAGGGGTTTAAAGATCATCAGCTCTTGTCCCAATTAGTGTAAGGATCTCAGCCGTAGGTACCATGGATAGTTGCAATACGCACTCAAGAAGATAATAGATCGTTTATCATTGCCAGCAGCAGCACCCGACAGTTTCCTTGCATTGTCATTTTAATTAGTTTTCTCTTGTTGAAAGGAAGTGGACTTGTAATCGTTTCTTCGTTATTATATAATTATAGATTTGAATACAAATATAGCTTTGCGAAAATTCAAAACTCTAGTGAGAGCGAGAAATTTAGAAAAAATAAATATGGCAGCGGTAAGAAGACAAAGGTATACAAACCGTGGTAGAATTATTTATAATACCAAGTGAAATGACGAACAATTAGGTCTGGTGATAAGCGACGACGTTAGACATGAGCTAACTGACTATATAGACATATAGACTAACTAGTATTATTGTGTGTTGTGTCAATTTTGTTCAAATTTTTTTAAAACATTAGAACCTTGGTCGAAATTTGTGTGCCAAAAACGAAATGGCGCGTCTTAAATTAAATGTTTTTCCATATTCATTCGTTTCATTCGGTATGAACTCAATGTGTATTAGAATAGAATAGAATAGAATCGTTTATTTCATGTTATCAATGTCACAATATTACAAATGGAAATACAATGTCAAGGGATAACTATGATCGTCAGTAACAAAATAATAATAATAATAATAATGAATATAAAATAAAGTAGTATAACTACTGCTTGTCGAATAAAATAAAATTAAAATTGTTTCAAAAGAAACTCATCGACACTGTACAATTCAATATCCAATAAAAGGATTTTTAGTCGGGTACAAAACGTTTCATCGTTTCTAACACTTTTCAGGTCTGTGGGTAAATGATCGTAGAATCGGGGACCTATTACCCGCGGTAGTAAATATTGCTTGCTTAATAATTAAGTTTTTATTTTTATAAAAACTTAATAAGTTTAAAGTGACGGGACGAACAAGTCGTGCGCCCGATCGCACTCGAGAGCTTTAAAACACAAAGATCTGAGGGGTACTGCCACCGCGCCCGTCATCCTGACACATAAGTTGACAAGTCCCATGTGCCTGTAATTTCATCAGCACCCTTACCCTTCAAAACCAGAATACAGTAATGCTCACTTTACTGGTTAGAGGCAAAAATAGGTGAGGTGGCAGTACTTCCCTGGACGAACTCTTTCACAAGGTCTACTGCTTGTACTATATTTCTCTACTGCGGCATTTACGGTAGTAAGCTTCACTATTAATCTCCTTTTTTTCTTTGCTTTCAGGAACCCCGTTCAAACAATATTATGTACCAATTCCCCCTACATAGAATATCGTACTGCGCGGACGACAAAGGCGCCAAGAAATACTTCTCATTCATAGCTAAGAGTGCTATGAACGGAATGAACGGTACTGAAGCAGAGAAACATGAATGTTTTGTTTTCATTTCAACGAAGCTGGCTTCTGAAATCACCCTCACCATTGGACAGGCTTTCGATTTGGCTTACAGGTAAAGAAATAACAATAATATATCCAACGACATCTGTATACTAGCGTTCTAGATGCGGCGTTACATACACACGCTCGGTTTCACTGATGTGCTGTGAAGACGCTGCACATCATCTAGTTAGTTGTCAAACATCCAAGATAGCGGATGCATATGCGGCCCTCTTTGAAAATTAATTTACATCGATATTTTTCGTATGTAAGTTAATATACATCTCATTTCCAATAGGTATAGACAGACTGCCACCTCAGTCTAAGGTACTGCGGTACTACTGTTCGACAAAATTGAATAGTGATAGTGTTTTGTTTATTGTGTTTTGGAACATGCAGTTGCTATGAATGTTTTTGTCTATAGATTGAAGTCGTTGAATATACCAAACAACTTAACCAATTAAACTAACAAAAAGTATCTTAATCAAATTTTTATTGAATTGATATTCAATTATTTTTTGTGAAATTACTCCACTAGTTTGTTATAATTATTAATACAAAGATCGAACACTCAGAAAAAATTCGTTCGATCCGGTCGGATTCGAACCGACGTCTTCTTGCATACCGTGCCAGACGCTATACCAACTAAGCCACGGAACGAACCAACAGACCTCACGAATTTTTCTATGTGCTTGCGTCGTGTCTTTGTACTTGGTCTTTCAACGACTTAGTTGGTATAACGTCTGGCACGGTATGCAAGAAGACGTCGGTTCGAATCCGACCGGTGCGAAGGATTTTTTTCTGAGTGTTTTTTCTGAGTGTTCGATCTTTGTATTAATAATTATAAAAAAGTATTTTTTTAAAAGATGTAAAAAAGTTCTCAAACTAAATTAACTGTATTCATAAAAAATGCAACAATAAATAGTAAATATAGAAATTAAGAAACTCAAGACATAATTTAATTAAACTATACATAGATTCGTCTAGAAACTGTAACTACAAAAACCCGTCTTTTCTTTTTCAAAGACAAAATAGGTTCTTAAAAAAGTTTGTTTCTCAAATTGGTGCAGTGCAATCGCTGGGCCATCAATTGTTTACGAATTTTTGAAGTAAAATTAGTTTTCTCAGCATTTTACTCTACTATTCATGATTTTTTGGATCAATCCTTCAATCGAAATATTAAAGATAATAAATTTAGAAAAAGATTAACACATATAGCTTAGTTACTACTGTACGGAAGTAACTAAATGTTTACTATAAATATTTTATGATATTACTACCATAGTCCCCTAACTATTGCAACATAATATATATTTGCAACAGGTAGTAGGTACCTAATTAAAATGACAAATACCATGCAAAAACCGAAAAAAATCAATTTTTGTTCTTTTTTTTCTTATTGACTGGCTTGTGAGGCTGATTGTCGCAATTCTGCCAGTGTCCGATTCATGGTCGTCTTTTTCTTAAACATCATGGAGGGAGTGTAAACAGAATATTCAATTTGTTCGGTGATTCAGAGAGAGTATCGAAGAGAGTTTTGATTCCTAGAGTCAAAATTTTGGAATGTGAAACCATTGACTTACAAATAAATGGACGACGGGTCTAATACAAAAACCACGAAAAAAATGTCCCAAGTCAACCTATTTAAATGTAGTGACATGTAAAGGAATATGAAAAAGCTAAAACGTTGAATTTAAATTGTAATGTCATCGCAGTACTGTCTAATTTTGCTTGCTTCGCTGTCAGTCGAACAAACGAAGACTAAAGCGTGAATGACGCTCTGTATACGATTTTAACGCCCTATAAGTTCGGACACTTTTTAGCGCGGACCCGACGTCCATACAATTGTAAGTCAATGTGTGAAACACAAAACTTTTGACATTTTGAGAATTTCAAATCCAACCTATTTTTGTAGCAAGGTATGAAAATAGTGACGTGCCTGCCTACAAAGTTCTCGTTGCCGATTTTTAGGATTCGGTTAACAAATTTCAATTACGTTCATGTAATATTTATTGTACTAATAAAAGTTCTGTTTTTATTTCAGACGGTTCTTGAACGACAATGGTAAATATATTGAAATGCAGAAACTTACGCTACAGAACAAAAAGCTGGAGCTACAAATGAACGCCTATAAAAATCGTTTACAGGTACGTTCTTTATTTTCTTAACCAGACCACTATTTAAAAAATTAAATGTTTGTTAACACTTTCCCGGACAGTAGGTACCTGAAGCACCGCACACAAAACTGTCATTAATTTTCTTTGTGCCGTAATGCTTATATTGATACAATATCAAATGTTCAATGTATTTAAATCAATTAATATGTACAATAGCTGTTGTTTCATCCGACATTTTTGACATATTTCCGTGTTTTGTAAAAAGGACGAAAGCGCCATTTTGAAATTTTTTCAGTGAAATTTTTATTGAATTGATATTCAATTATTTTTATGTGAAATTACTCCACTAATTTGTTATAATTATTAATACAAAGACCGAACACTCAGAAAAACTTCCTTCGATCCGGCCGGATTCGAACCGACGTCTCCTAACATACCGTGCCAGACGCTATACCAACTAAGCCACGGAACTCACCAGCGGACCTCACGACTTTTTCTATGTGCTTGCGTCGTGTCTTTGCATTTGGTTTTTCAACGACTTTTTAGCCTGTTTATTTACGTCCTGTTTTGAAATTCAAGTTTGGTTTTAATTAAGTTAAAGTTTTAAAGTTGAATTTAATTTAAAACCAAAATTTGTCGAATGTCGCTTTCGCCCATTCTACTAAACGCCGACCTTACTTATAACCGACAAATTAGATTGTGTGACAAGTTAGATAATGTTAACAGCCATTGTGAACTTGTTGACTACACGTTCCCCAACGTGAGGGAGCCCTTGAATAAATTTATGTACAACATGATAAATACAAAATCCCATTCCCACTTCCATCCATGTTTTGTTATTGTTCACTAACTCTTTTATATACACTTATCTATTTAGATTTATTTTAGAAAATGATATAAAAATTTAACAGTTGTAATGATAATATAGCTACTAATACTACACCAACTTAATTTTTGGACCAGTCCTGTTTTTATTTTTGTTTCTTTTTATCACAAGATTCGTTTTTTGTTTCTTTTTTCGAATTTTGTTTTTTTGTTTCTTTATTTTTTGTCACAAAATCCGGGGAGTATAATATTAGTAAATAAATATGGCCGTTTACAAAAATAACAGAAAATGACCAAAAAATAAAGTTGGCGTGCTATTTTTATTCATACCAATTGTTTATTTATATCTCACCTCATCCCCTTTTTTCATTCATTTTTCACCTTCCTAATCCCGTTTCCGAATTTCATTAATACGTAAGTTGTTATAACGTCGGGGATCAAATCCGCGTATGTAGTTTACGTATTATATAAACCAAATTTCACAGGAGAGGGATTTAACGTTGTTACTTTGTTATTTCAATGGCTACTACTTAAATTTTTGCACAGTAAGCATTAATTTACGTTGTCTACGGATTGATAACAATTTATTCCCGTAAATGACGCTAATTTGGTTGCCACGACATTTACGCGGAAATGGAGACTCATAATCAAAGGCTAGTCCATGACGTAACTTTCCCCGTTTTAATAACAAATTGAATATAGGAAGTGAAACTATTTTTCCGGATTTAAAAATAGTTTCATTTTCTATGTGTAACAATCACGAAAACCTAAGAACTCGAAACAAATTGAATAGCCAAAAAAAAAGAAGAAATACAATAACGGTCTCTTTTTTCCAGGAGCTTTCAAAAATAACGTACAAAGACGATCTATCGGCGTACCTTGCGCGCAACAGCCTTCCCGAAATCACAGAATGGAAGGCACCGGCTGAACTGGAGAAGCAGCTTACGTCGCTCACGCTTGCCAACGGATTCAGTGCTATGAATGGCACAAAGACACCGGAAATGGGTGAGTTTTTCCTGTACTGTAATAGTCCTATATGACATTTTCCAAAAGTAACGTTTGTTCGAATTTTCATAACCTCGAAAGTAATTTTGAAAAGTAATCTTTAACACCTAACCTAACCGAACCTAATCGTGTCTTTGCGATAAACATCCAACATATCCTGAACGAACAACGGTTTCGTTATTCGGTTTTCGGTGTAATGAAAATTCGAACAAACGTTATTTTAACTGCCTCCGTGGCCGAACGGTTACCATACCGGACTGCCACGCAAAGGTCCCAGGTTCGATTCCCGGGCCGGGAGAAATATTTGTATGGCCTACAATTATTTCTCTCGTGAGTTTGGGTGTAATTTGTGGTTGTCTATGTGTGTGTCCATAGCACCCGCGACACAGGGTTTCCCTAGTGCGGGGCTATGTTGAGTGTGTGCGTTATTATTATTATTAAAAAAAAAAAAAAATCGGTTAAAAAAATTTCGAGTTAGTGATAGGTTACCCGGCTTTACCTATGCTGGCGCGGACCTGAATACTACTGATTAAATTGCATATTTTTATATAATTTAAGAGTCCATACTGCCTCAGTTCGAATTCAAATTATTCCCGTACTAATACGGTTCATTTTGCTTCGGTTTTTTTGGTCGGGAATTTGTTTTTGTAAAAACGATATTAAAGCCTTTTGAAAAATATATATCGTATACTATAACGTGTTCTATTTAGTTCAATTGATATAAAAAAATCATTGGTATGTATCGAGTTCTTAGGTTTTCGCGATTGTTACACATAGGAAATGAAACTATTTTTCCGGATTTAAATCGCGTGAATTTGTTTTTTCAAATAAACCGACGTTTCGAGTCAACCGTGACCGTGGGACCTGTAAAGGGCCCGAAACGTCGGTTTGTTTGAAAAAACAAATATACGCGATTTAAATCCGGAAAAGAGTTTCATTTCATTGGTATATGTAAAATACCTATTGAATACACCAGTTTTCGTGTAAATTTTCGAGGTGAGTTTGTGTTTTTTTGTATCGTGAAAATTTTTTGAAATCTTGTTTTCACATCGTACAGTAATCAGTGTACTGTATCTGGGGCGTAGCTTGGGATGCGTAGCGAGAGGCACTTCTATGAATATAAACCGGAATAATCTTCAAAATTTATTTTATTGCACTTTTTTACATACTTTTAGCGTTGAAATGGTTGGGTTATATTTCGTTATCTCAAGATGTTCTCCTCTTTTCTTATTTCCTTTTTCAAATCATATTCTAATTATAAAACTATATCATTCAGCCAGTGTTTCTACTCATAGAGTAGAGCCTAGACTACAGTACGTCCTCAATTTTACTATATACTTTTTCCAAAGTGATGATTCTAAACTATCATTGTTTTGCGGAATCGACCAAATCCATTTGAGGGTGTATAGACTCTTAATAATCGTGGGAAACTAAATTTCACATAGCATTATTGAAAATAGCAACTGCACAAGAATAATAGTTGGTAAATGTTCAAATAAGTATAATTCTTTTTACGAATTTGATAGTTAAAATTGTTTCATATTTTTAGTGGAATTATACATTGTTGGTGGTTGGTGGTTATACATTGACTTACAATTATATGGACGTCGGGTCCGCGCTAAAAAGTGTCCGAACTTATAGGGCGTTAAAATCGTATACAGAGCGTCATTCACGCTTTAGTCTTCGTTTGTTCGACTGACAGCGAAGCAAGCAAAATTAGACAGTACTGCGATGACATTACAATTTCAAATCAACGTTTTAGCTTTTTCATATTCCTTTACATGTCACTACGTTTAAATAGGTTGACTTGGGACATTTTTTTCGTGGTTTTTGTATTAGACCCGTCGTCCATTTATTTGTAAGTCAATGGGAATATACATTAAATTTGTATTATTAATAATGGAAAGTATGAATGGATGAATAATTCCCATTATGTCGTGCCGACAGATAGTCGCGCAGTTTAAAGTATCGTCGCTTGTATATTTAAATAAAGTTGTTCACATATAGTACAACATGATTAACCGACATTCACGACTTTCTTGACGTTACGACGACAGACCGTTGTGACAATGGGAAGAGCTAGAACGACAGGCGTTTGTGAACGAAAATGTGACGACAAATAATCGCAGCTTCAAACGATTCTGTCGTACAAACGATAAGGCTGCTGTGAATCGATAAATTGTCGTCATGATATAGTGGGAACAACTAGACGTAACAGTCGTCAACGCTAAAACAAACGTCCACGACACCGTTACGACAGATAATCGTGATATGGGAACGGGCTAGAGGCGACAGTCGTCCAGCGATAAATAAGACGTTACACGACATAATGGGAACGTGACCTAAGAAGCAACTATTCCCTTGACTACCACTGCAACCTGCAAGCAAAAACATATTTAATTATTTTGTTTCAGCAACAGACGCATTGTCAAACAACTCAACAGACACATTCAACTCCAACGACAATAACCTGTTGCTGTCCACACCGCCGCCCACGCACAATGGCAAGGCTAACAAGTTAGTATTGAAGAATCGCATCTATTAAGTATTACCCACAAAATTAATTTGTAATGAAAATAAATACGATTGACTTGTAATTAACTGCCTCCGTGGCCGAACGGTTACCATGCCTGTCACGCAGAGATCCCAGGTTTGATTCCCGGGCCGGGGAAATACCTGTATAGCCTTCATTTATTTCTCTCGTGAGTTTGGGTGTAATTTGTGGTTGTCTATGTGTGTATCAATGGCACCCGCGACACAGAGTTTCCCTAGTGCGGGGCTATGTTGAGTGTGTGCGTTAGTTATTATTATAAAAAAAAATTGCATATACAGACACAAAATTCCTTTATTGCCACAATGACACTTTTTACACATAAATAACATTTTTTCAACAAATTAGTGGAGTAATTTCACAAAAACGTAGTTGAATATCAATTCAATGCACGTTTAATTAATTACAGGTTAATAGCGACATATCTAGCCAGGGCTGGTAGCTATGAAATGGGATAACATATGTTTCACCACCAGCTATTCAATTATTTTTTTGTGAAGTTACTCCACTAGTTTGTTGAGATCGAACACTTAGAAAAAATCCTTCGATCCGAACCAACGCCTTCTAGCAAACCGTGTCAGACGCCAACTAAGCCACGGAACGGACAATACGAGTTTTCCGATGTCGATACCAAAAGTATCAATTAACGCAAGGGATATTTTGACAATAACTTACATACATTATTGGATTCGGAAGTTCCCGCTCTATCGATTTAGAAATATTTAAAAAAGATGTTTAGTTATGCCTTACGTTACTAATATTCTATGGGTAAACCGTCAAGCATAGTGTAAACGTGAAGAGAAATAGAAAATTGCACATAATTCTATTATAAAGGATCCTTTACAATAGAATTACGTATAATTTTCTATTTCTCTTACTGCTGACACTATGCTCTACGGATTACACATAAAAAATTAGTAACGTAAGACAAAACTGAACCTCTTTTTATAATATAAGGGACATGCTATATTTTAAACCACTGGGCATTCCTAAATCTTTCGTTTATAGCATGAAAGAAGAAGAAATTCTAAGAAACTTTGCTCTCTAGACACAATAAAAATTGGAGCAGACAGTAAAAAGTTATAGACAGATTTTAAAAAATTAATTCGTTTTTTGGCTCTCCTGACAAACCGTGGTTTGTGCCTTACATTAATTTATACTTCTGGTGTCGATGTGCTTGTTGCAGATTTTTGTTTTTCCTTACGGTAAATAAGTCGTTTCCTTAACGACTTATTTACCGTAGCGCCATCTGTGAGAAATCTACGATATTTCGCCCATATTGTTTTGCAAATGTGTGCAGATTTCCTCAAAATGTTTTCATTCACCGAAAATTTCACGAAATTTCAAATTAAATTTTGCGCACTAATTGCGAAAACTCGAAGATGCAAGCCCGGGTTCGAACCCTCGCCCCCTGAGAGATACTAGTTCAACGCATTATACTACCACTTCCTATTTTTAACCGATTTCAAAGAAAAGGAGGAGGTTCTCAATTCTTCTGTTTTTTTCTATACATGTTACACGATAACTACGGCATTTGTGAATTGATTTTGATGATTCTTTTTTTGTTGGTACTTCAGTATTGGTCCCATTTAAATTAGAAGAAAGTACTCCTCAAAGGGTGGCAGACTAGGGGATGAATCCTATTTCATGCACTTTCCGGTAACTGATTTCAATAAAACTTGGCGAATAGATGTAATTCGACGAACTTTTGAGGTCGGTTTTTTTATATACATTATACTAAAAAAGAATTTTAAATTCTTACAGCAAGCTCCTGGAAGACACACCATCAAGCAAGAACCCCGTCGTTGGCCGCAGGCTAGAAGAACTACTGCTTAATTCAGACTCTGAGAGCGGTAAGTGAAGAATTTAACATTGATGGTGTGACCTCCTTACGTCGCCATCCCACCTTTTAATCGCCTTTCTCCGGTTCCTGGCTACTCGTATTTAAATTTTGAATGTTTTTCCATAGTTCTTTTGACTCGCATTCTGATTTTGTTTCGTTCTACCGTCACTCTCCTTGCCCGATCGCGGCGGCGAACACGTGTTCTCATTAATTATTTGAACCGTTTACCAGTTACCAGAAATCTCTTGTGCATTAAACATTTTAAAGATCACAAATATTAATAAAACGAGAATAATATTTATAAAACTGGATTTATTACCACTATTTCTTTACCCTTTTGAATTCTGAACTGCAACTGCAGATAGGCTTGTCGATTACCACCAGCAAAAAATATAAATAATAAGTCATTTGTTCTTCTAGATTTCGATCCTCGCGCGTATGAGTCGGACTCAGTGCCGCGGTACTCCGCGCCCGTCACAGAAAACGCTGTCACCCCTACGCCTCCGCTGCGTAAGTACCACAAACTACCTGCATGAATGAAACAATCCACCACGCCTTAATCAGCATGGTGGATTGTTATACTTACGAAAAAAACATACAGTCGAATTGAAAACCTCCTTCTTTTATGAAGTCGGTTAAAAATACTATTTCGTGTCATACGTACGTAAAATATTAACTCAACATTTATTTACAGTGGCACCACCTCCAAAAGCATCAAAACGCCAAACGCCACCTCAGCAGCCGCAGCCAAACCCAATAAACGGCAATGACCTATTCGGCTCAGCCCCTTTTGCTGTACAACCAACCCAGAACCAGCCGACAACAGCCGTTCAAACCAATATGTTTCAAACCAACAAACCTAACTACGATATAAGCGACTTCAGTCTGCAAACATCGGTTTTTAACACAAACACGTCGTTCACAAACGGCTTGAGCGGCTACGACCCTTTTGATACGCAAAAAACCGGTAACATCTTTGGAAATAGTTTTGGCAACACTTTTAACGGTTTTGGCAACTTGAGCGAAAAACAAACTGTGGAATTGGACAGCAGTTTCAATGGGTTTTTAGACAAACACATATCCGAGATGAAGGTGCGTAACTGATAAGTTTACATTATCTGAAAAGTTACATTTTGATCCTGAAGTAGCTTAATCTTATTGAATTAATTTTTACTACTGCTTGTTATACATTTGTTAGGAATTGAAATTTATTGAAACTTAACTTCTTTGTCACAAAACAAAGAGTGTATAATGTGGCCAGTAACGTCGGTGACATGGTCCCCCGGTGTGAAAATAAAAAACAGACATCCGCAAGTAATTTGTATGAGAACTATGTTGCATCAAGTGAACATCACTAAACTCCGTCCAACCATATAACTTTCGACATGTGCATGCTTCCGAAATACGCTTTTTTAATTTTAGTGAAGCGACGTGCCCTATAGCTCCGATATTTATCGAGTCAACAGACTAAGTAACGTTTACTTATTCAAGTTGATAAATTTTGGTACCTGTCTAATAAATTATAATGAAATTTATAATAAATATTTGTAATAAATTCTTATTATTTATTATAATGAATCGTTGGATTCTTCTCCATATGAACGGGAATCAGCACCTGAATCCTCATTAATTAATTCTTGAGTACACAATTTGTCAAACGCAATATCACGATCTCAATCAGACAATATCTTCTTTTTTGAATCCGCTCACATTCACGATTAAAACTTCTTCATAAATAAAATCGATTATTATAAAAAATCGAATCAGAAACGCATTAGGACATCACTAATTGATTAGAATTCGAGTTGTCAAAAGTTAAATAAATGGTTGGACGGAATATAATCGTAAAATTCGACCAAAAACAACAAAGCGGCCGTACCACGTAACTGAATGCATTATACATAAGTGTACACAAGTGTACCGCACCAAGTAAAAGCCGCAATGTATTACGAATCATGCGGCATACACTCGCTTACACATTTGTTTTCTCGAAATTCATTGAAAATGTAAATAATTGATTTTCAAATAAATTTATTCTAATTACAAAATTACTTAACTGAAAGGAAAAGTCCATGTTTATTCATCTATTCATGGTTGCAGTGATTTTTGTTTTTTGTTTAGTGTTTTCAAGGCCATGATATTTATTTAATTTTTGTTTTTGTACTATAATCTGGGGGTTAGACGCCTTAGCCTGTCCCGAAAGACCAAAAGTTTTACTGCGACTACGCAAGGTTCATTAATGTAACTCGTCAGACTATAAAGTAACATAATACATTTTGTACTATGCCAACAAATTAAATAATAATTAATTTATCGGTTTTTAACAGCTTGACAGTTGGTAAGTTAACAAAATATCGGAATTTTTTATTTAAAAAATCAAAGTTACCACATAAGGTAATAGTCTAATTGCACATGAAACTCTTAAGAAAAATATTTGTCTTGATATTTACAATTAATGTCACAGACAATGAATTCCGCAACATTTTATCTTAATTTAAAATAATTTCAAATAATAGCGCTCCCCATACTCTCTATTATCTACATTAAATGAAAGAAATATGGTTCCTTCGACAGATATAAATTAAGATTCGCACTGTTAATACAATAGTGTATTAACTCAAAAAGTGTATTTTTTCGAATCTATAAAAAAACTAATTAGTCACTTCCCATGAAAGATTTTTAAAATTTATGTATAAAATGTAGCTTATTACAGACATTTATACAATTTCATACTTTCCAAATACATTTAAAAATAAAAGGGAAAAAATAATTTTATATTTTTGAGTAAGGACAGATTTGTTCAGAACTAGCTCACATAAAATTTGTCTCATTTTGAGTAAAATATATATATTTTTATTGTTTCTTACAATATTCGAACAACGGTTTCATTGACGTGTAGAGAATATAATTTTACGTTCACCTATGATTTCATCTTGAATTTCACGTATTTTGAGTTACAACACTATTGTAATAGCAGTGCGAATATGCATAGTAATTTTCATAGTGGTTTCAGTAGGGCAACATGGCAACATCGATCGTTTGTGATTGAACGAATGTATGCCATCATTGCCATTCCACTGACACTTAATAGAGGTTCAACTACCATTGCAACTAGATTTTAACAAGGGCACTGCCAATAAGTCCAAAGAAGAAGAAGAATAACGAACATCATTGCATTACAATCTCAGTGAAGCCTTAATAGAATTACAATTACCAATGGTGTCAAAAAAAATTACCACAATTGGAGCTCTAAAAGTTACGTCCGTCCTATAAGGGGACAGATACTGTCCTCCTTATCACACTAAGGCTCAATTTATATTGCGGTGGAACGGAATGGAAGCAAATTTTTGTAACGATATTGTACATAGCGTAATGAACTTTATGGTCAATTGTGTATCGTACAAACTAGATACGAGCCAAAAATCACGTTGCGCGTATTCCGCGGAATTCTCGCGCATGCTCGAATTCCGCAATCGCGTGGAATTCCGCAGCTGCTATCGGCGATGCCTGGCCAATCCGAGGGAAGGCAGGCGCAGTGTGACGTCAAACGTCGACGAAATACTACAGCCTTAAGACGCGGTCTGGACTGCTCGAGCGTTTGCAGGAATGCTCGAGTATTCCAGCAACCGCGCGACATTTCCATTCCGTTTCGTTCCACCGCAATGTAAAGTGAGTCTAACGTAATCGACATTTTTAGCGACATTGACTTCTTAACATATCCGGGATCAGCGAAACAAGATCTACAACCCTTTATAAGCGTATTTTTATTTTATTTTTTTTTGTATTTTATTTAGTTTCAGTTTTATTGGCAAAATCAGTGTAATTGACATTGTGCCAAGAAAACAAACAATCTTTAGGTGCCAATATCTTAAGTTTAGTTACCAAAGAGGGTAGTAGTCTACCCTCCTTGTCATAACTAACGCATTTACATTTCGGTAACTTCCAAAATATCGGCACCTGAAATTTAACCTAAAAAATGTCAACTATCATTTTCTATTCATATTTCCTATACGCGGAATTTGTATCGTCAAAAGATGTTTTTGGTGGTTGAACTTGTGAATTTTCTTTGGTAGTATAGCTTTGAAATTTAGATTATTTTATTTGTGCTAAATCTTTAACATTACGCTCCTTGTCATAACGAATGCATTTACATTTCAGTAACTTTCGAAATATTGGCATCTAAAGTTTTGTCACCTAAAAACAACTAAATTTAAAGTACATAAGATATTGAAAAACAAATTAGAGGGGGTTTATGTCTCGTTTCGCTGATCCCAAGACTTTTCGCTAGTTTTTTTTTTTACTAGTTTTTTTTCATCATTCGGAAAACGAAACAAACTGAAAGAATTTTTTTTTTTTTTTTCAATCACAAAACAGGCTTATATTATAGAGTAGTGAACTTAAGTTTAATACAAATGTAAAATTTGGTCAGACTGTTTTGTGAGAGACTGGTGCCCGAGATAGATATAGGAAACGCAATTCATCTATTGACTTCATATATGGACGTCTCCAATACTGTCAAATATTTGTCATTCTGTTAAAATCTAGTTGCGATGACAGTTGAGGTTAATAATAGGTAATAATGTTGAACAAATAGTTCATTTTATTGTTTTGTTCACAGGACGGATTCAGCCGGGGGATCACCTTTGGAAACGATGATTTTTCAATAGATAACCTAGATCCCCTTAAGAAAAACTAAATCTGTCATACATTTTTACTAAACAAATAAAATAGTTAAAATTTTAGTTAATAATGATAAGCTTTATTATCATTCACACAACTTAGTATAAATAAATGCAATAAAATAATATTTTTTAAACAAAAAAATATAATTTTTTGGAGTATAATTACTTATTATATTTTTTCTAGTTTCTAAGCGTTGTGTGGATTTTAATAATGCTATTTTTAAGTTTTGTTTTTAATGTTCTGTTTTGCCATATTATTGGTTTTAAAGAAAACGTTACCTGCGCACGGTTATAAAAAAAACTAAATCATTTAGCTAATTTTAAAAAATATTTTCAAACTTTTGAATCTCTGAAAGATCTGCCAATGATGTGACAAGACAAATTCATAATAAAAAAATGTAAGTAATTTTTTGGTGATACCTACCTACCTATGTAAGATTTTATGCGAAAAAAATATATAATTCGCTCAATGTCATTCCTTGTGCCTTATACAACACTATTAATTAAAAAAAAATAACGAATTCCAATTATATAAATACGATTTTTACAATTTTTTTCAAATAATGTATTATTTCACCGGTAGATTTTTAAGACAAAAAAATGTATTTTGGTAGAAATTGACTAAAAAGAAAATTTCGTATTAGTTATTATAAGGACCAAAATTTATTTTCTAGAACAATTTGAAGGTCACCTCAGATTTATTCTGTGATAATTTTTTTTCATATTGAGGTACTTCAAATTATATTCCTGTCTTTTAAAATATAAAAAAATGTCCAAAATTTATGGCATGCATGTTATCGACTGAAACAATTTGTATTTGATTGATTAAAACTTTTCTTTTTATAACAAATTAACCGAAAATGTCGACATTTTTTATTGCATGAATTTTATGAAGCTGAGCAGCAGGTCTAACATTTATATCATCTTTTTTACTGTCTAAAGGAGGACTCCCATTTGTCCTATTACGATAAGAGTGTACTGCAGTAACGTGCAAGCATTATGCCGAACCTAATAATGTCATCAGCACAATTATTATATGAAACATGCGACCCATTGCTAGAATATACGAAAAAGAGCTGGTTTGTCACATTATACGGTGCTGATGATAGTACAACTCGGTGTCCACAAGGCCCAGTTTACATTGCCGCGGAATGGAATGGAAAGGAAGTTGCGCGAATTCACGAGAATGCTCAAGAATATTCGAGAATTCTCGCGACTGCGCCGTAAGGCTGTAGTCGGTGCTCAATTGTTTAGATCTTTTACGTGACAATGATGGTGGACTTAGACATTATTTTTATTTCGCTTATTTGTGAAGTAGAAGAAAAAAAGGAAGAACAGAAAAGGGGAAAGAGATATTTGGGTTCATAATTTATGGAAGAAACGAAACTCTTTGGTCATTTTGCAAAGATTTATATCTCTAAGTATACCGGTTTTGTAGATGCTTCACGCCCTTCGCGCCATTTCCCGCTGATTCGCCCGACCCGCTGGGTAATTTTTTAGGTTAGTTTTTTTATACCATTTCCATTTCGATGGCTGTTTTTATTATTTAAATATTCGTGTAAATTGGCCTGAAATATTAAATAATACTTCATGATTCTAAAATATTTAAATAATAGAACCTACCTAACTACGGTAGCTGTGGCAATGCCCGAGAATGCGTGAAAAATCTTTAGTATACACGCTACCTGTTTCTCTGCTCGTATCTAGTTTGTGCTTTACACTAATGAAATTTCATTATGCTACGCACAATTTCATTACAAAAATCCGCTGCCATTTCATTCAGCATCTATGAAAATATAACCTAAGGGTGTCTTCAAATTATACGCTTATAGAAGCACTGCAGTGGCGCTATTATAATTTACAAGACCTGTGAATAAATTATCAAACCACTACTCATTTTGATTCAATTTTTAGAAGCGCAGTTGCAGCGCCATTGTCGGAAATGTGCACACCACTTTTGCAGTAACAATCAGTGAATTAAAAGTTACTGAGGCGCGTCTGCTGCGGCTGTCACGCCACTGCTTATAAAAAGCATGTAATTCGAAGGCTCCCAAGTCTGCGTCCACTTTAATAGACTCAAAGTGATAAAATAATTTTCTATACCTGTAAAATAGTTTAATACTACAAATCAGTGCAATAAAACCGGCGTTAAATTGTAAATATAAACATATTAACACCTAAAACTTATTTTACGAATGACATTGTAGCTTTGTTTAAGGGTTTAAAAGCATTCCATGAAATGAACATATTTTTAAACTATCTTTATTTTTACTCCTTAATGTTTAATTAAAATAAAAATATAAATAAAATCACTATTTTTAGTTGTGTATAAATAATATTGTAAACTGTTGTATTGCAATGTCTCACTAGTGGAATATTGTTTAGTTCTGTGTACACTAATGTATTTGTTAAGGCCAAAAGATTATACATAACGTGTATTTTCGATAATAAAATTTATGTTTGTAATTATTTGATTTTAATTTACCTTTCAAAAAGTAAGTAGGTACTCTCTTTTCTTTTCATTTATTTCTTTCATTCATTATCATACCGCACTGAGTTACCACTGTTTAGAGCGATCTATTTAAATATTTTTATTTTTGTACGAAAGTAAAAAATGATGAATTATTCTTTTAATAATAACGCACACACTCAACATAGCCCCGCACTAGGAAAACCCTGTGTCGCGGGTGCCATGGACACACACAAATTACACCCAAACTCACGAGAGAAATAAATGTAGGCCATACAAATATTTCTCCCGGCCCGGGCATCGAACCCGGGACCTCTGCGTGGCAGTCCGGCAGGCATGGTAACTGTTCGGCCACGGAGGCAGTTAAGTGATTAAAATTCATAAAACAAAGTTTGTTGTTTATGATGTTAACTCTGTACATATTTATAATAATATTTACAAGTAATAAGAACAAAAACCATTTTCATGTAAAAATTATATTTCTTTTAAACAAAACATAACGTTTTTGTCGAATTCTTAAATAGATTTCACAAAATATTAAAAATTGACGAAAAATTAAATCTATACGCTCGTATTTTACTCTATCCAATAACAGCGATGTCAAAAGGTGGGCAATATATTTTATTAGTAACCATGGAATGTAATAGGCTGACCAGAATAATTGTAAACATATAAAAATATGATAGTTTGAAGTTGAAATTTGTTTAAGTAAAAATAATTTAAGTTTTTGCTCTATATCGTTCCAGATAATTACATGTGCGTGCGTGTGTGTACGTGTGTTCGTGTAAATATGTGTGCACGTGCGTGCGCACGTACGTATGTGTATGTCTTTTGCGTGGATGTGTATGTGTTTTGCGTGGATATGTGTTATTTGCGTGCATAAGTGTATGTATGTTTGCGTGAATGCAAGCATGTGCATGTGGTGCATATGTCTATGTTACATGCCAGTGAGTGGTATGTCAAATCCTACACATTTTCTTAAAACCCACTTCTCCGACTTTCAAAAGGGCTTTAGAAATGTATAGTGTGTATTTGATCTTTCACATCCAACTTAAATTCCACTAGATCGTTAAGGAGACAAATCAACGATCAGTCAAACTTACTAGAAGCTTTACGTTGTCTTCCAATCCATAAGCCACACTTGACATAATTTTCTCATTATTTGTCAGCTGTCAATGCTGGCAATGTCATTCTTACCTGATATACCAGCCTGAAAATTATGACTTCAAATTCTGACCATTATTTAAAACATCAATTTGATTATCTATTTATAACATTATGTCATTAATAAAAGAAATATATTTCGCTATTTCTCTGATCAGCCTTTAAAAAAATTTTTTTTACAGTATTTTGCTGACTACAATCGAATTGGGTAACTTGTGAAATTTAGGAAACATTGAACAATGGATAAGCTATTTATTTTTGTTGAACATCATGATTTTTGCTTTGAATCTATTTTTTTGAATCGCAACGGATCATGTCTCTGAATGGATCTCATTAAAATCGGTTCAAAATGAATTTTGCTAAAAAAAAGTAAGGTTGACATGTTGAGTTATTAGTTTTCGGGTTTGTTACATACAGGAAATTGAAACAATTATTTCGGATCTAAACCGCTATTATTTGTTTGTTTTTTTTCAAACAAACCAACGTTTCGGGCCCTTTACGGGTCCCATGGTCACGGCTGACTGAGATATGGTAAAGTCAACAACCAGTTATGTCTAAAATTATTGTCTCAAAAAATATTATTGTAATTGTGTTTCTATAGATACTTACGTATTTAAATACATTTAGCCATTTAAAAGTAATATATAAGACAATCAATAAATATTGGAATATTTAGAAAATAAAATAGTATAAAAATAAATTTCATACACATTGATGACGAAATGGGCACGCCCATACCAAGAAAACTGTCATATTTTAGGTTTTTCAACTTCTTCAAAATATATAAACTACCAAAAGATTTTATCAGACAATTAACAGGCTTATCCGAGTAGTAGCTTTTTGTTTTTGTTTAAAATTGGCAACATTCAGCGCTTATTTTTGTACGGCAACCCAGAGTTGGTATTAACCAATTCGACTGTAACAATACGACATGAAAATAAATAATATAAATTATATTTACCTATTTATGTATAGTTAGAAGGAATTCATAAAATCAGTCAATATTATAAATGCATAAAAAAATATTAAAACATAATTCACAACATTCAACTTTGTCTCTTGGTGATAACAATTCTTTTAATTGAGATTGATTTAAAAACACGACGACTCTGTTTACACTTTTATGAAACTACAAAAACACAACGTATATTTTTAAATCTTGTCTTAACGTTTTTACCCTTACGTAAGATTTTAAAATTGATATCGATAGTAATTTTTTCCAGTTTTTTTTATGGAAAACGGGAAAATGTTTTTTTATCTACTATATAATAAATTACCTACTAGGTAATATTAGACGTTACATATTAAATAAAAATGCATAATTTCTAGTTTTTTTTAACCATAATTCTACGCCATGTCGTTGGTTTTGTTTTATACTTGAACGATAAGTTTTTTGCGTACTTAGACAGCTTTAGTATGTATTTCGAATAATAATTTGCGATAATTTGCGTTTGCGATTTCGGTTATATATCGATGTGTCAATGACAGCATATTGTAAGTTTGTTATTCTGCTAAAAATATACATATACCATTGCAATTTTTTAGCATTCTGGTCTTCAATGCGAGTCGATGGTCGATGTTGAAATCTATTAATATTATATTTTTTAATAATAACGCACACACTCAACATAGGCCCGCACTAGGGAAACTCTGTCGCGGGTGCCATGGAAACACACACAGACAACCGTAAATCACACCCAAACTCATGAGAGACATAAATGTAGGTTATACAAATATTTCTCACGGCCTGGGATTCGAACCTGATAACCGCTCGGCCCAGAGGCAGTATACAGTGTTATTTTTAAAAGGGACAATATGGGGAAGTCCTAAGCCATTCAAGATACAAGGAAACTGTCTTAGGAACTATTAAGTCTCTTTTTGTGAAAACAATTTTGGCATAGTAAATTTTTTGGTCAAACGTGAGTTGTTCATAAAAATGAATGAAATTGATCAAACATTTTTTAGTGCTAATCCACTCAGATTCATGAAGGGATCATTTCATTGTATGGGACGATACAATCGGGACAGCCGAAGTTAGTTAAATTTCATAAAACATTTTTCCTGCAAAATTAATAATTTAGAATAGTTTTTTTTAATGCTAATAGACTCAGTTTCTTATAAATATGATTTCATTGAATGGCAAGAAAAAATCGGGACAGCGGTAGTTGGTCAAAGTTTATAAAGTTACTTTCATACAAAATGAATAACATTTTATTAAATTTGACCAACTTCTGCTGTCCGGATTATTTTCTTTCAATACAATAAAATCATTATAATAAGAAACTGAGTCTATCAGTATTAAAAAAAGTCAATTTTAATGATTTTGTTTTAATCTGAAGACAAAATTGCTTATTAAACGAGATAAAAATTGAAATACGCATAGTAATTTCCATCATGGTTTTTAGTAAGGCAACATCGACCGTTAGTGAGGTCAGTGTCATTCCAATGACATTATATTGAAACTCAACTGCCATTCCATTCCATTCCATTGCAATTATTGTCTCAGTGAAGTCTCAATAGAATTACTATAACCAAGTATCAAGAAATTAGCATACTCGGGGACCGGTTAACTGGTTTCACACTGGGACATTCCCTGTACAATGAGTACCAGAGCTACAGAATACACTCCGTGCACTACGCAGAACGCTCTGACCAGAAATAATTTAGGGTTAATTTTCAGAAAACGAACCCGGGATCTCCTGAACCAGCGCCCACTGTACCAACCGATGGATCACTGGTGGTAGACATTTACATATAACTTTGTTATCGTCCACGTATAAAACTTTAAAATAGACTAATTTGGCAACACCACGATTTAGGTTTAAATATATTTATCGTTAAATTGAATATGTATTTAAATTAATAACAAAATTAATAGCAACATTTTATAATTTTCATTAAAAGGCGACTTCAAATTTGTATAAGATGCAAAGTTTTTCTATTTTTAAATTACTTACTTTTCAACTTTCTGCTAAATTTGCAATAAATAGAAACAAACCTGTTAAAATTTGTACAAGTAAAATACATTTAAAACATTTTTGTACATATTTCTTCAAAACAATCTACGGCAATCCGGATGTAGTTCATTTTGTGTATGGATTCAGAAAAATTGTCTATTGTTTGTCCAACAACCGTATCTCCCGCAAAGGTAGGTCCTTTATACTATTCTTTCTATTACAAGCTTAATCAAGCGCGCCGCTGCCGAAGCGCCACAGCATTACCGTGTCAAACCAAAACACTACAAGGCAATACAGTGTTTTGTAATTTCATAACAACAAGAATGTTGCGACTGTTATCAAGGTAAAATAAATTTATTTGCTTTTCAATAAAAATAGCTTATTTTTCAAAGTAAAATTGTAATGGCTAGCTAGATTTCTTAAATTCATAAGTTAAATGTGTCTTTTTATGTTATTAACATAAAAATGTACAAAAAACCGAAAAATCCTTTACGCGGATCTTTCTCAAAATGCTGTTTTTTTATTACAGCGTTTCGGTTTGACACGGCAGAGCAGTGCTTCTACGAGCGTTAACTTCGAGTTTTTAAAAACTTATTTCATGACATTGGATTGAAGTTTTTCAGTAATGAATACAATGTTGCCAAATTTTTTTAACTTTTTACCGAAATTCAGGAAAGTTAGAGAACAAAATTTGAGCTTCATACACTGAACGCGGCGTTGCGCGTAAAAATTGACAATTTCAATAGCCTTTAGATTAAACTCTTAAACAAAATATATGAAAAAATATATTAAATCCCGTGGCGTTGCCATCGTTTTCTTTATGATTATATTCATTTCTTCTTTTTCATTTGTTTGGCTTTCTTTTTTTCCTCCCTTTTGTGTTCCTTCTCCTTTATCGATTTGTATAGTTTGTAGCCGAAGAATACTGAAACAAATAATTTTATATTAGATTTTATTTTCATCGCAGTGAGCACATATAGTGGATTTCTACTGAAGGTTGACAAATTGACTTTGAAAATTGTAAAGAAGTTTACACAGGTGACACGAAAAATGGCGTCTAAAATGCGACACTGTCGCCACGTTTTCAGAATCTAATTTTTTTTTCAGTTTATTTTATTTTTTCAGATTATGGACTTTTTTGTGATGCACACGAACCTCCCCTCAAGAAATATCAAATAAATATATAAATAAAAAATAAAAGAAGACCATGGATTCAGGCATTCAGTCAAAATATTAGAAGAAATAAACATACAATCAGTGTCTAAGAATAAATTGTGAGCTATCATAAATTAATACTTTAGTAGCAGTAGAGCTCCATGTGAAAGAGTTCGTCCAGGAAAGTACTGCCATCTTACGTATTTCGGCCGCCAAGCGGTAAAGTAAGCATTGCTACGTTCCAGTTTTGAGGGGTAAGAGGTGCCTGGTGAAATTACAGGCTTATGGAAGTTGTCAACTTATGTTTCAGGGTGACGGGCGCAGTGGCAGTACCCCTCGGATCTTTGCGATTTAAATCTCTGAACGGCACTGCAACTGATATGGACAGGCGTGTTTCTTACCACCAGGCGTACCAGACTTGTTCGTTCCGTCAGCATCATAAAAGACTTGATGATAAAAATGGATAACAAACAAACATGGCAGATGTTCATACGTATCTGCAGTAAATGGCGAAAATCCTTCTGAACAACCGTTATATTTTCAATTGTAGAACGTCCTTCACCTACCGAAGAGCAGAACCAAAATCAAGGCCCCAGCAGCCAAGAATGCCAACTGGTACATAACCGCCTCCCCTATTGCGTTCTGCAACTCGTCAAGATTCAAATCCGTTTGATCCAACTTCATAGCAACCTTGCTAGATAATAACCCTTTCATTTGCGATACGAAATTGACTTTATCTTCATCTGACATTGCGTTATATTTTTCTAAAACTCCTTGGAGTTTCTCGCGAATTTCCTCAGATTCCTCGTCTTCGGGAGACGTGGCGACAATTTTCTGCAAGATGCCGACAATATCGACATTTTCTACTGTTTGTTTTAATTGTTGCTTGATTGCGTCTCCGATGCTCGCGCCTAAATTCGGTGCTGCGTCGTCCGCCATTTTGGTTTTCTGATTTGGCGGGAAATATATAGGTTAGAACTTTAATATTTTAGAATAAAGTATTGTTTCTTGTTTTTTTGGACGTTTGTGATTTTTGCCTATCAATATGAACTTCGTCTTCAAGTAAGCAAAGTTTTTGCATTTACAAAACAACTTTGCCTTTGCCTGAGTTTAAGGAAGAAATTAAATTAAACTTTGAATTTACTTCGTAATTTGTCGCCTAAACTTAATTTAGTAACAGTAGAGGTCATTGTCGAGGACGTACAAAGAATTACTGTCTTCTTTTTTGTGCTGTCGAACATTACTGGGCAATGTGAGCATTACTGCGTTCCGGTTTTGAAGAAGGGTATTGGTGAAATCAGGCACATGGGTTTTATCAACTAGCGTCGATTGCGACTACTGCTATGGACAGACGTGTCGCTTAGGCGTGTCGCTCGCCACCAGGCGCACGACTAGTTCGTCCCGTCGTTTGGTATTATAAAAAAGCTCGCCATTTTTGCTAAGTCGCTGTTCGTTTTATAAATAAATCTCAACCTTAAACTTATTATTTGGTTCATTCGACGAAATGGATCCTGTGTGTCAGTAGACTTAAAAGAGAATTAAAACATATCTAGGTAAGTAGTATTTATGTCAATAATTAATTTAAATTATCCACTTATCTAATGATCACAATCTAAATTCCATCGTATTTTAATCTATTACATTGTCAGTTGATGATGATTTAAAAAATATACCACTACGAAAATGTTGGCTAACAATTCGTTTTCGGGTTATGACAATAATTTATAGTATATATTTTTTATTTATTTATTTAAACACTTTATTGTACCACAAAGTAACTTACAAATTTTCAGAAACAATTTAAATATTTGTGTACAAAGGCGAGCTTATCCCATAAAGAGATTTCTTCCAACTATATATATTTATTATTTATTTATATACTTGTATTGACAAGACAACGGGATTGTCAATAGGACGTCAATTAAAGAATTCTGTCTTTTGCACACATAGGTAGGTACTAGGGCCCGGGATTCTCGGTCTCGAAAATTTCGAGGCTCGACTAAAGTTTTTGACATTTTCGAGACTCGTGACTCATGTTTTCAGTCTCGGGAATTTCGCGAATTTCGAGGTTTAAGTCACGTAATTAAAAAATGTACTAAATCAACAGTAAAGTTATTTTTTGTAAAATGATGCTTAGTATAATCTGTGGATATTGAAGAACGATAATAATAAAATTAGGTTCTCTGTATCTGAAACTATAGTAATTTATAATATATATATAAAACGTCCTTCGTTTCTTACGTGCCCACTATCAAAATAGAAAAAAACACCCTTTATACGTACATATTCATTTTATAATTTGAGTGTTAAAAACTTCATTAAAGTATAATAATATTTTGACCGCCTAAATGATTAGTAGGAAATATGGAAATCTACTTTTGCAGTAGTCTCTTAGGTCTCGTTTGTCCCGGGGTTCTTCTCGATTTCTTTCCCGGAGTCGCTAACATGATTCGATACTGAACTGAAAACCCTAATAGTTACCATCTGAGTGCTTATTATTCATAAATCGCACCCCTCACGGAAGAACGGCGTAAGTGGAGTTACGTCAAAAATTTTTTATTGTTCCATTACATACAGAAACATATAACCCACATCCTCTCCAACTCTTGTAACTTAGTAGCCCAGTGGACTTGTGTTGTTCTGGTACTCATAGTAGAAGAAATTCCCTAGTTTGAGACCAGATAACAAAGGTGGTTATTTGGCATACATTATTATTATCATTAAGATTTCTATACTACCTCAGCTCGAATTTAAATCTTACTCGTACTAATACGGTTCATTTTGCTTTATTTATTTAATTTTTTACAAACGAAACCAAAGCCGTTTGAAAAATGTATACCGTATATTATTATACTCTTGTTCTGTTTAGTTCAGTTGATATTAAAAAAATCATTGGTATATGTAAAATACCTATTGAATACAGTGGTTTTCTTGTAAAATTCCGAGATAAGTTTGTGTTTTTATTCTATAGTGAAAATTTTTAGGAATAGTGTTTTCAGAAAGTATTTTACCAAAGTGATTTATTGAGCACTTTCACTGTTATGCGAAATCAACCAAAGCCATTTGAGGTAGCTCTTAACTTTTTCAAAACAAAATGTAATGCGTCCAATTCTTTCATAAAGTGACGCACACTTTACGCCCTTTTCTGATCCTTGTAGGCATTGACTTACAATTATATGGACGTCGGGTCCGCGCTAAAAAGTGTCCGCACTTGTAAGGCGCTAAAATCGTATACAGAGCGCCAAACTCAGCTTTAGTCTTCATTTGTTCGACTGACAGCGCGATACTGCGATGACATTACAATTTAAATTTCGAATAGGTTGATTTGGGACATTTTTTTCGTGGTTTTTGTATTAGACCCGTCGTCCATTTATTTGTAAGTTAATGCTTGTAGGCAAGAGACTACAGCCTTCGACTTGCTACATCAACACGGTATATAGTCCTAGTAAAACAGTACTTCGAAATTTAGACTCCATTTCAAACTATGCAAAGAACAAATTCAGAGAGGTAAACGTTAAAAGTTACCCCAATTGAAAGAGTTTAATGTTCCACAGAACAATATTCAGTAATTCTGTTAGAGTCCATTTAGTTACATCCGTAATAAATTATAGCTGACCAAAACGGGCAAAAATCACAAAACACGAAAAAATATTAATAAAAAAAAACAAGAACCAATTGCTCAAAAATGGTGGACTTGAGAAAAAACAATCGGAAAATTAAAAAAAAAACCGAATGGATCTTATGCGAATAATGTGATTATTTTTATTTATACATATTATTTAGTTATCAATTTCTAAAGGAGAATATAAATTTATTAGTGTCATTCAGAAATTTTTTGAGCTTTCTGATCGTATTTTGTCACACCCACAATTTTGAGTTACAACAGTATTCTGTTTCATGTACAATGTACTAATTAATTGAAAACTCACCGTCTTTCGTGAAACTTTATCATAAACTAAATAGAAATCACTAGAGGACATAGATTTATCGTATTAATGCAATCGTATTTGAGGACTTATCACGTATTATCATGGCGATAGGAATTGCGTAAATAAGTAAAGAACGATAATCGTTTGAGAATTAAACTAAAGTTTAGAGAATTTGCGTACTACGACTGATTTGCATTATTTCCGAATCCGAGAAATGACGGTCCGAAATGTCATAGGGATCATTTTATCCCTAGGTATACAAACGATGTCCCTATTTTCTCGGAATCTTTTTTTTATTACATCAAGTGACGGGACAAACAAGTCGTGTGCCTGATGGTTAGCTACACGCCTGTCCATAACAGTTGCAGTGCCACTCAGTGCTCTAAATCGCAAAGATCTGAGGAGCTACTACTGTGCCCGTCACCTTAAGACATGTTGACAAGTCCCATGTGCCTGTAATTTCACCAGCACCCGTACCCTTGAAAACCGGAACACGGTAATGCTGTTATATACATTACTGCTCGGCGGCACAAATAGGTAAGGTGGCAGTACTTCCCTGGACGAACTCTTTCACAAGGACCCCTACTTCGCCTCGGACTTAGTGCGCAAGTGACATCCGAAGTGTATGAGTTTTCTATATACAAAACATCCGTTTTCTAATTATTACGACCTTTGTGGTCGCGTGGCTTGCACACCGGTTTTCATGGTGTAGCCATCTCCGAGGTCCCAGCAGCTTGATTTTGATTGCCTCTCCAGATCGGAAACTTCGTCTTTTCCGAGTCGAGGCGCATAATTGCGATTCACAACTGACAGATCGGAAACTTTTGACATTTCTAATCGGAACCAAAGTTGATTTAACTCACAAATCAGAAAGATATAGTAGGAATCAGGTTCATCTTCTCGCTCGGAAACCCATCTGATTTCGAGACTACCCGATCGGATCGATTCCGGTTTGAATCAAAATCAGGACATTGGTTCGATCCCGGCCGGGGCAATATAGAAACTGACTTTTGTATGTTGTCTCGGGTCTGGATGTTTGTGGTACCGTTGTTGTTTCCGATTTCCATACCACAAGTGCTTTAGTTACTTACTTTGGAATCAAAGCAACGTATGTGATGTTAAATGGAGAGTTATGATACCAAGGGGTGGGACGAAGATCTCAGGAGCACTGTCACTGTGCCCGTTACCTTGAAACATAAGTTGAAAAGCAATTACACCAGCACCCATAGGACGCGTGTACACGCTAAGAACTTCGAAGTCTCTGCTACAGAAAAGATGAGAATGGTCTTATACACGACAAGAACTTTGTCGGATCTAGCCACGAAAACATGTCGTGTCTGTGGCGGGCGAGAAAATGATGAGTATGTACACGATACAAACGCTTTCGGACAGACGTCTGTAGGGTGTAATGTGACGTAATGTGTCATTGCATTACGAGTCTTCCAGGTAGCTGTCGTTTTACTACCGACTGTGGGAAGAAATATGTTGTTCCATATGTTGACTACTAAGCAACACCCGTCAACGCGCGTAAACGCGTTTACTGACAACGCACCTCACCCCGCCCAATACAATAGCGGCAGAGTGCGTCGTGTCGGGGGTAGACAAGATTTTTTTCTTGTCCGTTACACTGTTACAGTTCGTGTGTAGAAACATCGACCCGGCGACTTTTCTTACCCTTCAAAAACGAAATGAAGTAATGCTCACATTATTGCTTGGCGGCAGCATGGCAGTACTTCCTTGGACAAACTCTTTCAAAGGACAAAAGATAATTAAAAGGAAAGAAGTTAGCCTCAATCTCGCAAACAGGTGCTGGTTCGTATCCAACCGGATCGAAGGGATTATCCTTTGTGTTTGTTAGATCTTTTTATCAATAACAACAAAGTTGTGGAGAAATTTCACAAAAAATAATTGAATGTTATGGTAGTAACCATTGACTTACAATTATATGGACGTCGGGTCCGCGCTAAAAAGTGTCCGCACTTGTAAGGCGCTAAAATCGTATACAGAGCG